CTGCCTCTGCTACTTGGAGCGGTGCTATTGGCACAAGCCCAAGCCCCGCTAAAAGCGGGAGTCGGCCATCACTTGATTTTGGGCGCCGCAAGCCCTCTGCGACAGCGGTTGCAAGTGATACAGAGGTTGAGAAACTAAGTGCTCGTAAGCCTGTAGGGAATGCCGGAACACGTGCTGTTTCGGGGCACACGGACCAGGCTAATAGCCAGGCGACACAAAAGTCAACGTCGATCTTGACACCGATGCAGCGAATGCTGGGTACGAAGAGCTCGTCGAATATGCTAAAAGCACGTAACCTCGACTCGAATCTCGACAGAGATGACATGTTGGCCGACGAAGAGATGAAGAAGCTTGCTTCGAAGCGGAAAGACTTTGAGCATGCGGCGCGCGATGTCGACGAGCTTCGTAAGCGTGCCACAGCCAAGGAGCGTGTCAGTCCAAGTGATGCCGTGCGCATGGCGAATCTGAACATATTTGAAAGAGGCGAGATCATCGATTACAAGGAGGTCTACTTCTGTGGAACGAAGAATGCCAAGAAGCACGTCGGTGATCTCAATGCGCAGACCGCAAACTTCGGCTATGACGACGAACGTGGCGATTACAACATCGTCTTGGGCGACCATCTCGCATACAGATACGAAGTTGTCGACGTTCTTGGCAAGGGCAGCTTCGGACAGGTTGTGCGTTGCGTAGACCACAAGACGGGAGGGCTCGAAGCGATCAAGATCATTCGTAACAAGAAACGGTTCCATCAGCAAGCTCTGGTCGAGGTCAACATTCTTCAGAAGCTACGCGAATGGGTAAGGAAGATACATTCAGTATACAGAGTAAGCTTGCTAACGATATCTAGGACCCCGATAACAAACACAGTATGATCAACTTCACCCAGAGCTTCTACTTCCGTGGCCATCTTTGCATCTCGACCGAGCTTCTTGGCATGAACCTGTACGAGTTCATTAAGGCACACGAGTTCAAGGGCTTCTCCCTACGCCTAATTCGACGATTCTGCAAACAGATGTTGGCTTCGTTGACCCTCTTGAAGACCCAGAAAGTCATCCATTGTGACTTGAAGCCGGAGAATATTCTTCTCGCGCATCCGTTACACTCGGAGATCAAGGTTATCGATTTCGGATCCAGTTGCTTTGAAACCGAGAAGGTCTACACGTACATTCAGTCGCGATTCTACCGATCGCCCGAGGTCATCCTTGGTATGAGCTACGGATTACCGATCGACATGTGGAGTTTGGGTTGCATCCTTGCCGAGCTGCTCACCGGTTACCCCATATTCCCTGGAGAGAACGAACAGGAGCAGCTTGCTTGTATCATGGAGATATTCGGACCTCCAGAGAAGCACCTTATCGAGAAGAGTAGCAGGAAGAAGTTGTTCTTTGACTCCCTTGGCAAGCCCAGAGTCACTGTTTCCTCGAAGGGCCGGAGACGACGACCCAGCTCGAAGACACTGCAACAAGCCCTGAAGTGTGACGATGAGGCCTTCCTTGACTTCATCACGCGCTGTCTGCGTTGGGATCCCGAACGTCGAATGAAACCCGATGAAGCGATGCAGCATGAGTTCATCACTGGTGTACGCAAAACCAATCAACAACGACGACCTTTCAACGGCCCGTCCGGCACGTCTTCACCTGCGAAGCGAATGCCGCCCCCACAGTCGGCACAGCCACGCGTCCGACCTCTACCCGAGCCTCCCGTGTCTAGCTTCAGAAACGGGACCGCAGCCAGCGGACAACGTCAGGTGTCGAACAGCAACTCACCTGTGAAAACTTCCGCTCCCGCGAGACGCCACTCCACCGTGCAAGGACTTGCACCTGGAACAGCAGGTACTAAGCGTGCAGCAAATGGAGCGCCACTCAATGGCGCAGGTGGAAGTGGACTGCCGCGTGCAGCACAGCGCAGTGTGTCCGGCAAACCAGACCTCGCTTCGGCGGCGGCTATTGCCAGTCTTGTAAGTCCAGAGCATTGCGGCCAGCTTGATGTCGATGAGTCGCTAACAACGCTCCAGAAAACGCACACATAACCTTACGAAACCGAGAGATATTCTCAATATAGATTAACGATTACTGGGCATCTCATGAGGTTTCTACTATCTAATACGGGGTCTACCCTGCTGGCGGCTTCGGGGTTGGGGCTGATCCGGACTTTTGTGCAGATGTGGTTGCGAATGTTTATGTTTTCCCATTCAGCGACGTTATACCCCCGAAAAAGTCTCTCTTTGGAGCATATTTTCAACAAGGTGTATTGATTGGTTTATTGGATAGGAGGGAGGATATTGAATCTTGATATGAACAGCATTCTAGGGCGTTGTAGCAAGATAGACATCTTCAGATATCGTAATGTGAGGGGTGCTGGGTCGTATGGAGTCGAGTATAAGCATTGCCTATCTGCCTGAATGCACGAGTGATGGCGAGCTGCAGCCTTATGTGATGTCAGTGCGTTATCGATAAGGGCGGTCGCGAATTTGACAATGTTGGCTTTCGCACTGCGACCATCAGCACTCGACTGCCCTTCTTTGATACCCCCGTTCTTCCTTCTTTACATTCCTTAGACATGCCTCGCGACCCGCTAATCGGCCTCGTCGGCAAGCCTTCGTCCGGCAAGTCGACTACACTGAACAGGTGCGCAATGCCCCTCCACCCCTCTTTCGCGGATCTTTCTAAGATGGATTTCATGGCAGCTTGACAGATGCTACCTCCAAAGTCGGTCCGTACATGTTTGAATACGCTGGGAGCTATGTAGGCTGATCATGAGTAGGTAACTTCCCGTAAGTCATCCCTCTCCGATCCATGGAATGCGACCGCGCAGCGCACACCGCGCTCGATTCTTCGCATCGTCAGCTCCTAATGCTAAGACTAGATTCACCACCATCGACCCTCAGCGCGCCATCGGCTACCTCCAAATCGAATGCCCCTGCGCGCGCCTCGGTCTCGCTGATCGCTGCAAACCCAACTACGGCGGTTGCGTCGAAGGACGGCGATCGGTCCCTATAGAACTTCTCGATGTCGCTGGACTCGTACCAGGCGCACACATGGGAAAAGGCCTCGGAAACAGGTTCTTGGACGACTTGCGACATGCAGATGCGCTTGTACACGTGGTGGACGTGAGCGGGACGACCGACGCCGAGGGCAAGGCGACAAGAGGCTACGACCCAAGTCAAGACATTGTCTGGCTGAGGAGCGAGATTGTGCGATGGATACAAGGCAACCTCATGGAGAAATGGGGCAGTATCAAGAGGAGGCATGTCGCTATCAAAGCTACGGCAGTCGAGACGCTACAGAACCAGTTCTCAGGTTACGGATCCACGTCTAGCGTCGTTGCGCGCTGTCTCGATCGCCTTGCCCTCAAGGAGCCACTACAAGACTGGTCAAACGAGACCATCGAAAGAGTCGTAAACGCCTTCACCGACGAGAAATTCCCTACCGTCATCGCCCTCAATAAGATCGATCACCCCGACGCAGACAAGAACATTGCGAAGATTGCGAAACAGGTGGACGCTAAGAGCATAGTGCTTTGCAGCGCGATATCTGAAGTCTTTCTGCGGAAACTAGCGAAACAGGGCTTCATCAAATACACAGAGGGCAGCGAGTTTGTCGATACAAGAGAAGACCTGATCGAGCAAGGCGACCCCGATGGAGGCGGACTGAAGGAGTTAGACGAGAAGCTCAAAACACGAATTGAAAATCTCAAAGACATGGTTCTGTACCGCTTTGGTAGCACGGGCGTTGTACAAGTCCTGTCGCGAGCGGCAGAACTCCTCGGTCTGGTTCCAGTCTTCCCGGTTCGCAACATCCACGCGTATACCAGTGGTAGTGCGAGCTCGACCGCTGTTTTCAGAGATTGCGTGCTTGTGAAGAAGGGTAGCACGGTCGGTGATGTGTATAGGAAGGTCATGGGTGACGCGCCGATGGCGTATGTCGAGACGGAGGGTGGAAGGAGAGTGGCGGAGGATGATGTCGTTGCAGTGGGAAAGAATGACGTGAGTATGCTATGAACGTGAAACTAGATGAGTTGCTAATCAAAGGTAGATATTGAGCTTCAAGGTAGGAAGGGCATAGTCAAGCCGGGTCAAGATCTAGTCGGGATTACATCCGTGATGCGCATAGTCTCTGGCAATCTATGAACTTGAGCGGAATAACTTGTCTGAAAGCTGATTAATCTTACTGCACCTGCATTGATGAAACTGTGAATCTTAGTGCTGTTCTACAACTCTAGAGGGCTGGTGTCCGTCATCTTCTTACTTACTATGTGCGCGTAGCTAGTTGCAACTCGCAAGTCTCTTCGTACCTCGATTTAGGAGGCAGCTCCTTAACAAAGATAATTGCGCGTCGCGTTATGTTGATGATGGTCTCCACTCTTAGTGCTGCCCCTCTTACACATTGGCGTCCGCACATCCAAAAAAAAAGCCCCCCAAACATCGTCCGTCCCCCCAAGCACTCATCATATCTAGGATACCACCACCCAGCCCAAAAAGTAATCCTCCTCCGGGAAGGCTCGAACTTCCAACCTCCTGATAACTCGCTACTGGTGTAGTAACAGTCAGACGCGCTAGCCAATTGCGCCACAGAGGATTAATCGAAATGCGCTGTTGCACTTCTTGATGGAGGATTCTGAAAATTGCATCGTACTAATTGCCTGGCAAACCTCACTTTTCGCTTCCTGGAGGACTTGGAGCGAGCAAACATCGGCAGCATCGGGGATATGTATGTTATAGTGGGGGATGATGTGGGTCTTGCTCGCTTACCGGAGCATAGGACGGCAGTGATGATGTGATAAGCGTTGTATTATAATCTGATTGATAGCATTGCTACTGGGTTTGTCTGCTACGATGATGGAAGTGGGTATAATGTGATATGAAGGAACTACCGCCGTCCCCGTCGCCTGGTATGAGTCCAAAGAAGCAGCTGCTCCGCGCGCTATGCAGTAAAACATGTAGTTAGGAAAATCTTGATTCCGGGCCCGTCCTTGACAATTGCCTGATCGGTACGTGCCTAGTTACTCTTTCGGCCTCGTTTCTTCTTCTGCTCTTTTGAAGGTGTCTCGCCCGCCGCGGTTCCTTCGATTTTGAATTCGTCGCTCTCGAGGTCGACAACACCCCTCAGGATACTGTACGTAAAGAAGTCTTTCGTGTAGCATGTTACTCCTTCTTTGATCAGCTTTTGTGCCTCGACATCGTCTCCATCTTCAGCGAGGACGATGGTATCTCCCGTCTTCTTCAGCTTTGTCGCACCAGTCGTCACGCTTTTTGCGCCGGCGGCTTTGCAGACCGCTTCAATGTCAGAGAAAGATGCGTATCTCGTCTTGAGGCTTTTCGTAAAGTGAACAGAGAAGTCGGCGAACGGAGTTTGCGGCTTTTCGAGGATATCGTCAAGCTTGATCTTCCACTCCTCTTCTTGCTTAGGTATAGATGGCCTGAAAGCGGAAACGGTAAGCAAGCGCTTAGCTGATGCAGATTCCAATAGCCATTGGTCTGTAACGATAGGAATGCCGCGCGCGATTGCGTAAAGTACTTTTGTTGTCTTCTGGAGATCACCATCTCGTACGCTGTGATCGGTTAGCATGGTGACACAACAGCAAAGACAGTGCAGTACTTACCATAGTACATTGAAGTCATCAGCCAGATTCTCTACAAACGCTCCACCTTGTTTCTTCAGGAACTTGACAGCCGCACTTGCTTTCGTAATGGTGGAGTTGCTGCAGGCTACACGGGAAGCTGGGCCATCGTAGTCCTCTCTAACTGTAGTAGTAGATATGGATCGTTGCGAACCCCTCTGCGATCGTGGTGGGGCGGACTGTTCGGGCTGAGCAACGTCGACGTTGCTCAGGCGACTGTCTTCTGTGTCGCTATCGCTTGTTTTGGCGCGCTTGCTAGGCCCAGCAAATGCCTCGTTGTCAGACTTGGATGCATCTGCCTCCGCCTCATCGGCTAGGGACCGTGTTCGTTTCTTAGCTGATCTCGATGGTATATGTACTCGCGGTGAAGATGTTCTAGCATTCAGAGGCAGCTGTGGTTGCATCTGATCCTGTGACTCGCCAGTACGGGCGGTCGAGAAAGCCTCTGCTTCCTGAACGTCTGCTTCGTAGGAATCTGCAACATTTCTTGTACGGGCAGCGGTTGGGGTCTCCTGGATCACAGTAGTCGATCGTTGATTCGAAAGCTGAGGGGTTGCGCGAGGTTGTGACTTTGCTACAATGACAGCGGGATCTCTCGTATCATCGCCCTCGCTCTGGGCTTCTTCAGGTGTCACCGCGATTCTCATAGCGTCAGCAGCCGATGAGTTGACCTGGACCTCAGAGTCTGTCCACTGACAAGTCAGGTAAGATTCAGCATTTGGAACATGGATCTGGTCGCCATGACGCAAGAATATTGCTTCTGAGTGTCCGCCACTCTGTGGTTGCAATTCGAATCTGGCAGCCGATAGTGGACTATTGGCGTGTGCTTGCCCAGGCAAGATGCTCAGTGAGGCTGTGATGGCTTCCAGTTTGACCCCACATGGCCCAGAATCTACCATAGTCAGTGGATGTCTCAAGCCTCTCCGGCGGACCTACCGATGCGACCGAGCTCAGGTACGACTGTGGGCACTGCTATAATGCGAACCACGCCAGGATGGACTTTGTTGATGATGTGTACTGTGCCTGTTTCTGGTAGGGCATACTCCAAGGAGCCCGGCGCTCCCGTGGTATGTGACGAGATCAATGTCCACATCCTGGGCCGGTTGACGCGTCGTGGCGGTTGCTTGTTCGCGAATGTTGGATTTAACGCGTGGTCACGTTTGCGGAAGGCGCAGCCGGGCTAGCGGTGACGCGCATAATAAGTGGGGCTGTCTGCTGATTCGCCACCCACGCTCACGCTGACCTTCCCTTTCTGCCTGCCAGCCGTACGCCGCTGCCTCCTCTGGTCACAGCAAGGATATGGATTCGAAGGACGATACCTGGGACACGGTAACTTGTGTGCTTAATTTGGTTGCTGTACATTTCAGCTGCCATTGGTCCCAGTTCTCACGAACACCGCCGCCCAACAGTCTCAAAGCTCAGACAGTCGAAGATGAAGAACAATAGTAAGGAATCCGCGCTATCTCATCACGACCATCGCACACTGCAAACAGCGCATCTAGCAACTATCCAACTCACTATGAGCGACTCTGCGACTCACTGTAAGACAGGAGAAGAGCGTCAGCGGCGAGCATTGGTCAAGCGTTTACAGACCGAGGCGAGTATCCGTACGCATGCAGGTGAAGGGACCATGGAACAATAGCAAGGGCTCCAGGTAACTCTAAGACCTCATCTTCGCCTTCGTTTTGGCTAGCTATAGTTGTGAGTGGGGAAATCGAAACAATCGCATGCTGCCGCTGCTATTATCCGCTCGGGATCCGAAAGCCATCACTCCCAGTCACTTTCTCGATGACCCTGCATGCCACCAATCTGCAGCGCGGAACCGACCTTGCCATCTAGCTATTATATAACGCTGATATAAACGACACAGCTTCGACTTTCGTCGCTGCTGGACATCTTCATTCCTTCTTCAACATCCAGTACTTTCTATCTCTCTTCCAAATTGTCATCTCGAGCCCCAACTCCGTCATACTCTGTTCTTCTCTGAACCTACGGCCAAACAGCATTACCTCTATAACCTCCAAAGACTGCTACCAGTAGCAGCCGTTATGTGTGACGAGTTCCACGCCGTTGATCTTCCGTCCAACTTCCACGTTCCGCCCGGCTTCGAGCCATGGACCCAAAACTTTACCCTCATCGTACCGGGCGACCAATCCAGATGGGCAGTCACCACGGCCAACATGGCGCATGTCAACTCTTGGAGCGTGAACACCGCCCGCCTTGCTACCAGTAACGGGGTAGGTCTTGGTGTATCGATCATGCTTCTGGTTGTTCTCGTCCTCTTGACCAAGGCTGAGAAGCGAAAGTCCTTCATCTTCTACCTCAACACCGCTTCCCTCTTTACCAACACTATCCGCTGCCTGCTTCTCGCCATGTATCTTAGCAGCAGCTGGAACGACCCTTACAGCGAGGTTACCCCATATTCACCAACTCTGACTAATGAGGACTGGGCTATCTACGTCTTAATCAACGTTTTCAGTCTTATCGTCGCTATCCTAGTCTACGCTTCACTCAGTCTCCAAGTCTGGATCGTATGCGTCACTACACCACCTCTACAACGCACCATCATCATGGGTGCAACTACCACAGTGGCCTGCGCTGCTTTTGGAGTCAAGTTCGCTTTCGTCTACCTGAATACCAAATACGCATTGGACAATGTGGATGCCGATTCTCTGGCAGCCTTGAACGGGATGACCTACATCATGCAAACTCTATCCATCTGGTTATTCAGTTGCGTGTTCACCTGGAAATTGGGACATGCCATCCTTCAGAGGCGCCGTCTCAACATGCCTAGATTTGGACCGATGCAGATCGTCTTCATCATGGGTTGTCAGACAATGTCAATACCAGGTTCGTCTCTCTTTGCCACGCTAAACACTGACATTTACTAACGTACGTGTAGCTATTTTCACATCTCTCCAATTCGTCGAGAGCATCCCCCCTGAGATTGTCTCCCACGTTCTCACAATCGTCTGCATCTTCCTTCCCCTCTCGGCTATGTGGGCGGGTGTTGCCCACGATCAAAACGCTGCTCCCAGAGGCCTACGATCCACCAAGACCAAGCTCCATGGCAAGCCCGCAACGTCTACTTTGACGGACAGTTCCACCGCCTGTGGAAATAGCTCTCAGATGAGCTCGTGGTCGGATACCATGAACAAAGATCACGTGAGCTCTGCCACTGCTCCCACATCCCATGACCACCGCACGAGCGTCGAGGACAACTGCATTCGGGTAGACCGCAAATTCGGTTTCTCGCACGAAGACGCCGCGGACCGAGTCTGATAGCGCGCAGCTACACATCTGGCATGTATCGACTCTTTTGCGGCGCCTCCGGGATCATGCTTGATGGAGAGTACTGGGTGTGCATGGGGGTTGTTATGGAGCGGCACGATTAAACGGAGTTGGCGCAGCTGCGTCGCGTCTGGTGCTCATGAAATCGGCAACGTACCCGGGGACTATGCGCGTCCCAACATTCGTGATACCGGGGACATGATAGGAGATAATATGGATTGCAGTTGGGGGATCTCCTATGTACGGCTGCCGCGTGTTACTCTACCTGTATCCTTAGCCATCTTTTATTTTCTCTAGCAATTTTCTCTTAGCAAATAATACACTCGCTGCAGACCTTTCGCCCGCATTCATTGTCAGGATGGAAACTTCGTGTTCGCGCTGGGGTCAGGGTGTCATGGTAATTTAGTGCAAGCATCGGCAAGGTGTCACGACAGCTATCCAATATACGTGACGCCATGTCAAGGGCTGCAGTGACAAGGACTATCGTCGGACTCCGTACTTTAACAAGCACCAATCGCCGTTAACCCCGATGCCGTACAGTAGTCTTGCGATAAGGATGCACATTCCTAGCTACAATTTACGGCTATGGAAGCATCGCTCTCCGAGCGTCGTACATGTTCAAATCTATGATGGTAGCGGCATTCATCGCGAGGAAATGCTTTAGAAGTCTGAGGTTACGAGCAACCTCGTATATGGCAGCCCATTGGGTCTAGCGCAAAGCCCAAAACGATTCGGCTCATCGGGGGCAGGCACCCCGCTTGGTCTCTCTACGCCAATGATCACCCACGCCGACACGTCGCTCAGCGTCTGTTATGCGACTCATCGATGTCAGAACACTCGAGCTCAGATGGTTCAACGACGAATCTGTCCCCAAGTATGCCATCCTTTCTCATACTTGGGGTGGAGATGAGGTCAACTACCAGGAATACGTCTGGATTAGCAGAGCTCGAGCATTGTCCGCTTCTACCAACGTAGCATACGCATCAACAGGCAGTCAGGATGCGCAAACTACACTGATGTTGGCATTGGAGATGATGATTCGAGGTAGTTCCGAGATGCCATTGGGAGGCTTATCGGAGAAAGACCTGATGACGCGCGTCGGCTACAGCAAGATTGTGAACGCAGCTGAGCAGGCGCAAGGCCAAGGCTGTCACTATCTTTGGGTTGACACGTGCTGCATTGACAAGACATCAAGTGCGGAGCTACAAGAAGCCATCAATTCCATGTATCGTTGGTACAGGGATGCGGAGGTCTGCATCGTCTATTTGGGCGACATTCCCAAACCACGTCCAAACGGCTACACAACCGCTTCCGAAATTGCAAGAGATTCACTGAAGTCTTCTCGGTGGACACGTCGCGGTTGGACCCTACAAGAATTGATTGCACCGGTTCTATGTCGCTTCTACTTCCAGGACTGGACCTTGATGGGCGAGAAGGTGGAGTTTCTAGAGGAGCTATCTGACGCCACGGGTATACCAGTTCGTGTACTCGACGACAGAAGTACTATCAGTGAGTTCTCCGTTGCGGAGAGGATGTCTTGGGCAGCACATCGGCAAAGTACTCGTGTCGAAGATGTTGCCTACTGCTTGCTCGGTCTTTTCGACATTCACATGCCCTTACTTTATGGAGAAGGTGCAAAGGCTTTTATTCGCTTACAAGAGGAGATCCTAAGGACTACTGACGACTACTCCCTATTCTCCTGGTGCGCAACTTCATCGGAGCGATCAACGTATCGGGGTTTGCTTGCGCGCCATCCTGAAGAGTTTCAACACTGCGGTTCTATCGAGCGCGAAAACGTCATTTCCACTTTCCCCATAGGCCTTACCCCTATCGGTCTACGTGTGCAGCTCGAGTTCTTACCTGACCCCAAAGACAAAAGCCGGGTCTTAGCCATGATACGGTCGAGCAACCAGCTCAACCAGCGCCTGGCCATCACATTGAAGTGCCTGGATGGTGGAACGCAATACGCGCGTGTTGATGCTGGCTCTCTGGCTTTCATCGACGATTGGCCTACTGGCAAACTTCATACGATTTATGTACGACAGAAGCTGTGCATACCTCCTGGTTTCACCACTGCCGAGTTCAAAAGCTTCCATATACGCCGTCGAGTTTCTAGCCACACTACGCCAACAGTCCGCATAATAAGTGTGACGCCTCGTAATTGCTGGGATGAAAGCACCCACGAGCTACGAATACCAGACAATGTCACCGAATTCTGGGGCGCTGTTCTGCTCCGGGTCCAATCAGCAGCGTACGCGCATTCTTTAAGCTTCCCCGTCGCGTTCGGTTTCAACCGGTCCACTTGTCACTACTGGTGTAAAGCCATTTCGGACTTTGACCCCTCGCAGGACGGTCAGGCCAGTGGTACTTGGCCGCAAGCGGTAAAAAGGAGGATACCGGACGAGGTGTACGACCCATTGCGAGGAAATGACGCGCGGAACGATATGTTTTTGGTGCGTGATAGCGGTCTGGCTATCAATGTTGGTATCAAGGCAGGGTTGTGCGGCGATAGCATCGCATTGGAGGTACACATCGATGGACTTGTCAGGTGGACATAAGATGAAGTCTAAACTCAAATACCCGCTCAAAATATGCCGCTTGAGTCCCCTGCTGTTGTGTCATACACATGTGACGATGCTCTGTTGAATGGCAGATGCTGTGTACAGGCAAGGCGTTTGATGATAATGTTGTCCCAAGAATGCGCAAATCTTACATATGACATGACATTATCCTCCCCCGCGGCTTGATGCTTCTCTTTGTCCGATTAGTTGGCTTGCCCCACTTGTAAGAGCCAGTCATTCTGTTCGGCTGCCCTGCCATGGCCGTCCACACCCACCAAGATCCTGCAATATCTTGTCTGGCGTACAAAGGTCTTTGATACTCACGTCATATAATGTTTATTACTGCAAGACTTCATCATCGGACAGATGGCCGAGCGGTTAAGGCGCTAGCTTCAGGTGCTAGTAGAGAAATCTGCGTGGGTTCGAATCCCACTCTGTTCAACATCGTTTTTGCATGCGTGGTTCAGTCGAATCCTGCTCCGCTCAGCATGTTTTTTGCCCATGTACTAGTGGCTGGGTGATGCTCTACCATTTTGCTACTCTGGTGGGCTAGATGCGGTCCGTGCGCGCAAACCACGCGAGAACGGGAGCGGGGCAGACACGCGATCTTACGATCCCAGGGTTCAGGCTTGGCGTCATCCCGTCTTCATCACGCGTTGCGTCTGGGGAAGCACCAATGTAATCGTGTTCTCGTCATGCTTGACCATTTTGACTTATCACAGCCACACCTCGCGCCACTGTACTCTTCATCCGCTGCTGAAGGCCGTGGGACGGAGCTCCCAGGCAAGAGCAGCTGCCGAAGCCGACACGGGAAGGTGGACTTGGCCAGGATCGTATGCGCCTCATGCACTTGCGGCACATGCCTCCTCTAGTATGACCGTCACAGCAGCCGATAAGAAGCCTTGAATGGTCTTACTAATCGATCCTATATGCATACCGCATTATTTTTAACAGTAGCTCGCTCGCAGAGCTGCTCCATGAATTGCTTACGCGTCGCGTCGCATCAGGTCTTCCCAAGGTCATTTAGTACAAAACCCAGCTGAGCATCAGGGCTTCCTAGGCTTCGCAATGGGATCGCTGCGTGTCGCGTCGCTTTTGCGACTATGTTTATCGCTTTTACTGCTTCAATTCGCGTTTGCGACCAGCTCAATCGCTAGTAATGCGAGATCGCCGACTGCACAAGGTATGGCTGAGAGATACTTCTCCCTCAAAGGCCTCTCACTGACATGTCGCAGAAGCAGATCAACCGGTCTACGAGCCCGATAATCAAAATGTCGTCCGCCTGCTCTCGTCGCCAGTCTCGTCAACAACCCCCGCCGAGCCCTCCCAGACATCATCGAATGACTTCCCGACCAGCACAGCCAGCTACTCGCTCGCCGAGACCAATATCCTTCACGATCTCCACTCCGCCCTATCTACAATGCAAGACCACTACTTCTCAGTATGGCTCGGCAAATACACAACAGCGATAGATTGGACAGCAGCCGTCATGTCGACCTACGTCTCAGCTACCCTCTCGTCGCTCTCCCACTCGCTCGCCTACACAATGCCGGGCACATTTGACAAGAGCCGGAAAATGGACGTCGAGGCACAGATGGTGGAGAACGAGATCAACAAGTACTTTGCGCAGACCACCGCGTACTACTTCGGCGAAGACCATTTTGCGATAAGAATGCAGGCATTCGATGATATGCTGTGGGTAGTCTTGGGCTGGCTGGAAGCAAGCGGTTTCGTCGAGAGCCATTCCACTGAGCACTACACGTCTAATAAGGCTGGAGCGAAGGAATGGCATGCCAGGCAGTTCGTCCCTGCTTTCGCCCACCGAGCCCGCGTTTTCTACAAATTGGCGGAGAAGGGATGGGACTGGAGGCTCTGCGGCGGCGGCATGACTTGGAACCCGCGTCTCTTACCGTACAAGAACGCCATTACGAATCAGCTCTTCATTTCGGCGAGTATCAGCATGTACTTGCACTTTCCGGGTGACAATAATTGTTCACCGTTTCTTTCGCAGCACGACAAGATTGGCCTACAGCAAGATCAGCTATTTGATGACTGCGACGAGGGGCACCGGGCACGCTACGATCCTGTTTATCTCGCGAACGCAGCGAATGCGTACGAATGGCTGAAGAACATCGGTATGACGAACGACCAGGGACTTTACGTTGACGGCTTCCATATCGGAGGTTACCGCACGAATCATAGCAAGACAACATGCGATGAGCGGAACGAAATGGTGTATACCTACAATCAAGGCGTCCTCCTGTCTGGACTTCGCGGGCTGTGGGAAGCTACTGGCAAGACCTCATATTTGGAAGATGGCCATGAGCTCATCAGGAACGTCATACGTGCCACAGGCTGGAGAAAATCTCAACCTCATCGAAGCGATGGTCCAGAAGACGAAAAAGAAGCACTACCGGCTGACTGGGCCGGCCTGGGTTCCAATGGTATCTTAACGGAACTCTGCGATCCCTCTGGGCGCTGCAGTCAAGATGGCCAGACATTCAAAGGCATCTTCTTCCACCATCTAACGTCCTTCTGTAAGCCTCTTCCAACTCGACCAGCTAGACCGGGGAAAACACATGCAGCACCCAAAGAGCTAGCAATGTTACACGCAAACAGCTGCAGGGAATACACCGCATGGGTCGTTCACAACGCCCAAGCCGCGCTCCGAACGCGCGACCAAGACGGCCGATTCGGCGCATGGTGGGGCGCACCAAAACTCTCATCTCCATCCTCCTCCTTCCACGACAACAGGAAATCGGCGTCTCATCCTCATCCAGTCCTTCCGGAGAACGCAGTAGACTACCGCAACATCTATCCAGACCCCTCACATGGCGAATACCTAGAAGACGACCTCAAAGAACCCTTCAAGCGGTACGTCTTTGACGAGAATGACGGAGACGAAGACGAAACGATCAAGAGAAGCCCAAGCGATCTCAACGACCGAGGGCGCGGGCGCACAATCGAGACTCAGGGCAGCGGTCTCGCTGTTGTGCGGGCGATGTGGGAGTTCCTCCGTCGAGCAGAAGGCGCTGAAGGGTATTTGTCGTGAGTGGTCAGCGATGGAGTTCTTACTCTCTACCCATCTCAACTCACACCACGAGCTCACCAAGAGTGTAACCAAGTTGTTGACGTGTTAGAACAGAAACACCAATCCCTCCCCCTTCCCACAATACTCAAGCGACGCTCCGCTCTCCTGCCCCAACACCATCGCCAGGATACGCAGAGAACGGTATGCGATTGCGCAGAAATGGCCACCGGCAGTGAGGTAGGCTCTCAGTGTCGTGGAACTGCACGTGCACCTGGACGTGTGTTGTGTGACGGGAGGAGAGGCATGTTGTTGGTTGATGGGGCTGGAGCTTTTCTTTGGAGAAGGGGAACATTGGTGATGGAGAAGGGGAATATTGGTGATGGAGATAAGAGTTCTACGCTGAAGGTCACTGCTGTTGGATGAGAGATATGGTTTGATTCCGGTACAAGGGAAGCGGGTAGATGGTGTTGGATTCGTGTGGAATGCGATGGATGGCACGGGATATACAGGTTGGATAGCGGCTTTGCAGTTGAAAACTAGACTTGCTGCGCTGGGTTGGACGGTAGTTTGGAAACGGCTTTGCAAAGATACTAGTTTTACTGTTCATTCTCTCCATCTTCGCCAACGGCTAGCTTGTCACTGTTGCACTCTTTTCCGCGGAAAAGACATTCAGAACCCTGACTAGGCCCTTCTTGTGTCCTCTTAACCTGTCCACCCTGTCCACCCATCTCCCCACCTTACATGATGCCCAACTCCCCAAACCCTTTAAGAACCTCTTTGTCCACACGGCTGAGCCACTCTTCCTGGAAGGCCTGTTCTCCACCCACCTGTTGGATGACCTGTTGGAGATGTTCCCTAACGAACGCAACGAGATTGATCTGATGAACAGGATCGGTGTAGATGAGTTCGCGCTTGCGGATATCCTCCGGTGCCTCGGGTTCGGTAGGATGGTAGGGTTCTGGGGGCCAGAATAGGGAACTAGAAAGATGAATTAGTATGGTCTCGGGGGAAACAGAGTGTTAGAAGGGTATACGCACTCTTGACTCCGGTCATCCATGCCATCCAGCAGCTCCCCGAGTACATCCGTCCAAATTCCTATCAGCGATTGCAACCGACCCAGCATCCAAGGCTGTGCTCCTTCCAAGAAACGTGTCAGAACAAGACACATGAGTTTCTTGTTTGGCAAGTCGCCAATGTTCTCGATATGGCCGAACCACTCTTCTAATAACCAGTCTAGAGTCTTCTCTAGACCTTCACTTGATAATGCGGAGAGGGCTTCGAGGAGTACAGAAGGTGAAGCCATGCCGATACGTGCTAGCACGGTAAAGTAATCTGTTTCTACGACACCATCGACGGCGCGGGAAGGAAGCTCGCGGTAAGGGCCGTGGGACTGGTGGTGTGTCCATGCGCCGTGGAGACCCTCTAGGACTTTTGCTAGGAACCCGGATGATATCAAGTCGCTAGTCAGAACCTTGACAGCGTTCTCGCCACCTACGCCTTCCGCACCTCGAATGATGCATGTAACGAGATGTGTCATTATACCGTTGGCTTCGGGCTTCAAGTTGCCCAGAAGCTCGGCGAGAGCTTGGAGGATTGCGGGGCGGAAAGAGTCTGCGAGGACGGCGGAGGGCGCAAGAAGCAGGTATGCTTCTGTAATCTCAATGGCTTTTCGCAGGGTCTCGTTATCCATCGAGAAGAGAGGTAGTAAGTATTGCAGCAAATTGAGCAGTTCCGGTGGTGTAGGTTCTGGAGATGATGGTGTTTGTGCGATGATAGACGCCCATAGATCGAGTGCATCTTCAAGGAGGTAGACTTGAGTTTCTGAGCCAGGCTCGATAGCGCTCTGGATAATGGGTAAGAATGAGACATGGAAAGAACGTGACTCGGCCTTCATGGCGTTCGTCAGACGAGCCAGGAGTGTGAGAATCGCCTGCTTCATGAGATGCTCTTCGCCAGACTGCTCCCACAGCGGTGGGAGGAGAGCGATGATGCTGTTGGCGTACGGGGTGATCTGCATCCAGTTAATCTCAATACTTCAAGTTCTCCCATCTTTGACTTACATGATGCTCTAACCTGTATACAACAAGACTAATGGTGTTTAGCAGTGCCATCTTCGTTTCTGGGAGTTCCACTTCTTGGACCAGCGCCATCAGCCTATCGAGCATAAGCTGCGAGTACGGCAAGAAGGCATCTGCCTGAAACTCCCATTCGTCGGCCACGGCATGAAATTTCCGCCCCGCAGTTATTCGTACCACTTGATCGTTCATTGGATCGCTCTTATCGAGGAGATGCTGGAAGATCTGGTAGACGATAGGCTTCTTCTCTTTGGCCATCTTGATAGTTATCCATTGGGAGATGATGATGGCGATGCGGCGACGAATGATGTTGAAGCCCGGCGACTGCTTCGCCGCCTCGACAACCAAGGTCTTTTCAAGGAACGTGTCGAAGTCAAGTTGATCGTGCAGTATGTCAGCCGCAAGTCCAACAGCCGTATAGACGGAGTCCTTGAAGAGGATATCTTCGTTTTCCGGTGCTATAAAACATTAGCAGGAGTCACCTTCTGCTAAAGTGAGTACTCACTCGCTACTGTGTAGAAGACTTGGAGCAGAGGCTGAATGATCAAATTTTTGAAATTCTTTGCGAGGTCTAGGAACAGCTTTTCGGCACAGGGTCGGATCGCAAATTCCCAGTCCTCTGCTCCCTCTTCCATCTTCTCCCACTCGTCGGGCTCTTCCTCCCACATACGGAGATCGCTGGGCCGGAAGACGAAGAAGCGCTGCACAAGTGCTGAGATCATTTCGCGAACGAGGTCGTCAGTGAGTAGGTCTGTCTTGACCTTGTGCGTGGCCGCATTCTTCTCATCCTTTTCCTGCTGGTGTTTGAAGCGGAAAGTCTGGGTAGGGAAGAAGACCATCTTCACGCATGCACGAATTAGCAGCAAGCCTTTCAGGCCCAGACGCTCGAGGATGGGTGCTTCATCTTCGGCATCGCCATCGGTACCGACTTTGGCGCCTTCAATAGACTTTGAGCCCCATTGCTCACCTAGTCGTGAGATGAGGCTCCAGTAGTCGCGCGCAAGCTCTATCGAGTTGGGTAAAAGGACGAAATCTGCTGGGTGAGTCGTGGCCATGTTGAGGTGCAACTTTGAAAGCTGCATCAAGTGCCTGCCTATCTTCTTCTGAACCTCGCTTGCAAGTGGTGAGTTCTCCGGTATCACGTATTGCAGGAACTCTCCGAGATGAGTACGGGTCAGTGTCCAGAACTCTTGGACATCCTTATCTCTGCCTGGGAACTCGTAGCCGGCGATTATAAGTCTCCGCATAGTCTTGATAGCAAGCAGACTGTTGTCAATGCTCTCAAGCGCACCGCCTTCGTCGTCTCCGCCGTCGCGAAAGAAGGCCTGCCATGTTTGTACCTTGTTCACATAGATTGTACCGAGTACGTTGAAGATCTCCGGTGCGACAGTCTGTAAGCTTTGTCGTGTTCGTAGTAGTCGCCCCGTTGACAGTTCCTTGACGATGTATAGCAAGACGAGAAGGGCGCGAGGGAGTTGTAAGCGGTAGGCGTTCGGATCGGTCGAGGCGCGAAGGATGTGGAGTAGTTGTTGGAATAGATCTGGCCTAGAAAGTGTTAGAGTATAGGAATCTATGTTGGTTTGGGACTGACCAGTCATTTGGGAACTCGAATCGGACAATCTTAGCGACGACGAGAGCATTCTGTAGGGCCAGGCGATGGTCGGCTTCGTTGACGGCGCTTTCGAGTAGACGGGCCCGTATAGTAGCCTTGTCTTCCTTGCTTACAGCACTGCGGTCACGTAAGCCTATGCATCTCTGCGGCTTTATGTGGAGGCGTACTTGGTGGCTGTCTTGCGCCAGTACTTGTCGATGCCGTTCTTGAGCTGGATGACGGCGAGGTAGCGAACTTCGAGGGGGAGAGATTGGTCAAGAAACACCGTCTACTAGTGTCAGTCTGGCACAGTTCAGGGAGCTAAGATATGCATACCTGCAGCAGAGGATAGAAACCCGCGGCCTTTTCCCATTGCTGGAGTTGCTTGGTGCCTGTCTGCACTTGGGTTTGGTCTGCTGAGGACGCTGATCGCAGGACGTGGAACAAGATGCTCTCGGTCAGAGGATTCGCCTCCGCCGGCGCCTCAATGCTAAACTCTGTGTTCATGCTGTGAGTGTTGACGGTCAACTATTGCGGTAGTGGGGCAGCCGCAAGTAGGGGAACTTTTGGATATGGCAGGAACAGGCAAGTAGTTGTGCGGAAGCAGCTCACGGCTCAGGCGGAACGTTCAGTCTACGGAGCCTGCTCACCCAGGCTGCGATCAGGATGCGGCAAGTCTTGTTTGGGAAGTCTATCTTGGTGTTTGGGAAACAAATTCGAGAAGCTCCCCGCCTGACAGCTCGGACCTCCGAGACACGAGACAGTGATTCTGGGGCACCTTGTTGGCAGTTGACATATACTGCGCATAGGATGATCAAGTGTGTGTCATCTGTCTAGCGTGTAATTGAGTATGGTCTCTCCACAGAAGCACTGTTATGGGCGTGTCTGATCATGGCCCCGGCGTGTCTGGAGAAGGCGTCGCGCGCATCGGCTACTCCCACGCCTTCCCCAGCCAACCTCGGTCCGTCGCAACTCGAGCCTCGTCTCCCCATCACGCTGTCACGTTGCAGCCACACCCAGCTATCTCGCGCCATCGCCAACCACGCCCGTGACATCGACCCTCCCAATGCTCCCAAATGCCCTCCGCAGACTTCGCCGCCGCCCAGCAACGCATAGCAGCCCGCCGCGCTCAACGCGCCCTTCAGCAGCGCAATCACCATGAGCCGCCGCCATCAACCGCACAACGCGCCCTCTCGCGCCTGCCCTTCCCCTTCAGCAGCGTCTCCTCGACCGGATTCAGCGTCTGGGACGCGATAAAAGGGCGGTCGGGAACACGGCCAGAGTTCCGCGTCGGCCAAGTCGATGCCGAACTCCTCGATGAGGAACTCCTTACCCTGATGAAGGATCAAGTCGGCGAGGGCTTGAAGTACTTCGGGAGCCATATCACAGACCATTACTCACCCGAGATATTGCTGGCATTGAGGGCTGTGCTGTGGAAGCTGAGCATTTGGGACCAGAACGCGAGTTATGGCGCGCATCTACAGGGGCTGAGGTACACGGATGCGCGGAGTAGTGCGCCGAATCGCCCACCACCTAAGCCGTGGCAGAAGATCGCATATGGAGCCGTTACAGTGGGAGGGCGATACGCGTGGACGAAGTGGGAGGAGTACCTTCTATCCGCTTCAGAAGACTACACCCGGCCCGAGAGCGCAAGATTGAAGCTTCTGGGACGATTGAGCGAACTGGCCGGAAATGCACACGATGTCCTCGGTCTCGCCGGTTTCCTCGTCTTCCTCGTCGACGGCCGGTATAGAACGATAACCGACCGCCTCCTCCGTCTACGCCTGACACCAACCTCGCACTCCACATCACGCGAAGTCAGTTTCGAATACCTCAACCGCCAACTCGTCTGGCACGCCTTCACCGAGTTCCTCCTCTTCCTCCTCCCCCTCGTCGGAATCTCGCGCTGGCGCCGCATCCTAAGCCGCACATTCAAGAAGCTACGCACGACCGTCCTCTCCCTCCTCGGCCGCTCGAAGCCCGCCAACGACGAAGACGACGACGAGACCAAAGCAGCCGGCGAACTCGGCTTCCTACCCGAACGCACCTGCGCAATCTGCTACCGCGACCAAAACCCCACAACCACCACCGAAGCCGACATCCTCACTTCCTCGGCTGGCGGCGGCGGCGTCGTCGGCTCCGCAACAACCGACATCACCAACCCCTACGAAACCATCCCCTGCGGCTGCATATACTGCTTCGCCTGCATCGCGCAACGCATCGCAAACGAAGAAGGCGAAGGCTGGACGTGCCTCCGCTGCGGCGAGACAGTCAAGGAATGCAAGCCCTGGAACGGCGATGTCATTGAAGAACAGCCCCGTCGTGTTGAGCAGACCGAAGTCCACGAGCGACCCAGTACAGCCAAGTCTGTTGGTTTCGCTACTGCGGGCGATGAGCTGGATGAAAAGGCGCTGCTGAGGGAGGTCGATCCTATGCCGGAGATGGAGGATGCCGCGGACACAACGCAAGAGGATGAGGAGGGCATAATGGGTACGACGCATACGCGCGGTCTGGATCTCGGGGAGTCGTTGTTCACCGAGAGTTCAGAGTGGGCGCGTGCTAGTGAAGATCGTAGCAGCGATGATGGGCAGAGCGAGGAGTACACTGAAGATAGTGAAGAGGAAGAGGAGGGTGATCAGTCGGGCTTTTACGACCGACGATAAGGCTTGGGAGTGTTGGTTTGGTTAGGTTGGGGCTACACGACTGTTGTATAATTACTGGATGCGTTGAATTGCAAGATACCCTGATTTCTCAAGCTTGGTTTGTTCCATTGTGCTATGCTATCAAGTGTCTTTGAGCCATCGTGCGACCAGTCCATAATTGGACCTGACTTGATCGTTTGGTGAGGTAATCGCTCGTAGATGTCAGCAAAGCCAGAGTCTTTCGCGCCGCAACGCCTTGATTGATGCGGTCCGTCCTGCATCGTGTAGCATCTGTCGGCTCTTGCCCTTGCGCTGGCCTCAAGGCCCCTAAGCATAATTGCCAACGTGCATAGTCGCAACTTGGCCTTCTCTCGTTATACACAGCAAACCGCCCATTGTCTCATCATGTCCGCATGAAATCCGCAAATCTCGGCAGCGCTGCCATCTTCTCCTCGGGACTTGTCGTCTCGGCGAAGAAGATGAGGCGCTGGTTCCTGTCCTTTTTGCTCTTCTTCTCTTCTTTTGGCGCGGCCTCCTTGGTCACCTCGTTGATCAGATCGTCGACAGAGTTGGATATGTCGCCGTTCTGACCGGGTGGGTATGCACCGGGTGGTGGAGCGCCAAAACCGGGTCGAGGAGGTAACGCGCCAGGTTGACCGGGTATGCTGCCAGGTCGTGGGGGCATGCCACCGTTGGCGGGCGAGAAAGGCTGAGGGACGCCTTGAGGAGGGTATGCGGGCGCACCGGGTGGGAAGGCCACGGGAGCGCCAGGGGGTGGTACGCCGTACGGTGTCTGAGCAACTGGCGGTGTCTGTGGATATGTTAGTCCCATATTCTGTCTCTGCCCAAGATCTCGAATACATACAGCAGTCTGTACTGGCTCCACTGGCGCGGGTAGAACGCCGTTCTTCCTATCTTCCCTAAACTGGGCCGCCCTCTTCTCAATCTCCTCCAGACTCTCGTTTATCTTCGGCCTCTTGTTCGGTGCAGCTTGGCCATTGACGTACGCTCCACGCATGGGATTACCGGTAATTCGTGCGCGCTCTTGCTCCTCGGCGAAATGTGCTTGGGTGACTTGCTGGTTGTGCTGGTCTATTATCTCGGCGGGGACACCTTCCATACCGAAGATCTCCAGCTCGAGACCTTGACGGCCGGGGTTGGCATTTTCAACGTGAGTGAGCGTCTCCTTGTGGACTTGGTTCATGTGCACGGAGAGACCTGTGAAGCTGTCAGAATCGCTTGTACTGTATGCGGGTTCGACTCGAACAGTGCGTACCTCCGGCAGTATTTAACCGTCTTCCACAGCGGTCGCATTTGAAATGTTTTGCCTTTTGGTGAGAGATGAGAATCTTAAGGTCGTCGAAGTCGCGCTCGCAGTAGTAACACCATGGTCGCTGCAGACGTCAGTATGGGCGCTGAATGCGATTTGGGTGCGCATATCGTACCTCGAGCTTCTGGTTCAAATCCGGATATCTTCTGCGTTTCTTCGTCATCGTTGCGATTGGTAGGAGGGAAGTGGGGAAGGCGTGGTCGCGCTCGCGGTCGGTCGAAGTGAAGCTCAGGGCTCGCGGTTCCTCGAGAGCTAGCCTAGCGCGGTGGTCCATGCGGCGAACATCTCAACTTTTCTTCCCGATCACCCACTTTCACCCACAACACCACAATGACAGACATCACATTCCTCTGATGTGAGGACGAAACCATGTCGCCATGTCATTCTAGATACATCCATTCACTATAGGACGCAACCCGCACACCAGCCACTTGAGTCTTCGACACTTTTACGAGTCCCTTTCGGGGGAGCATCCCACAGCTTTGCGTCTTGCTCAGCTGTGGTGTATGCGGCTGTACGTCAGTACGTGCATTCTTCGTCTGACGAAGTCCGTTGCAAGAACAAATAAAAAGGTCCTTCATAGTTCACACTTCCTCGCTCTTCGGAGAAATCCTACGAAGAGTGTGACTCCTTGGCTACCTACATATCTCCTTGCTCCACCAGAGCCATCAAGCTGAAGTTGGGGTTCTCGTCTTCGCTTGCCATCATGTCACGAATAACGCCAAGGCATCTCTCAGAGAGAACGTCCTCGTGTGTTGTGAGCGCCCCAAGGTCTATCGGACGCTTGCGGTCGCCGTCGAGTTGATAAAGATGATTGTCTTTAGCTGATTTGACAAAGGCGATGTAGTGGTAGTCTACTTCGTCTTCTGCATTGAGGGGCGCTTCAGTATCACCCTTGCTTGCTACTCCAGCATATGCCCGCTCGAGACCATCGTTCTTCTCCAATGCCTTTGCCAGCTCGTCTAAATCAGGCGTCAGACTGGCATCGAGTAATTGGGTAACGATCGAGTCGCTGTCTGACCGATATCAGCACGGTCATCTATTAGGGTCATGGCTATCATACCGATCCTCCGTCGCGCCTCGCCATTGCAGACAGCATGCAGTATTGCATAAAGGCCGCATGCGTTATTGATGGTCTGCTTGAAGAAGATCACATCACCAGCGCCCCTGGAGTTTCGAAACTCCTCAAGTTTAGCGTCCTCGTCTTGAACTCGCTTTTCATAGTCGTCCGTTGTCGGAAATACCAGTATCAATGCAAAGGCTGGACGCGTGAGAAAGCCAAGCAGTTCTGGGTCATCCAAAGAGAGCACATCCTCGAAGACTAATGAGGTGGATAGGCCGAGCTTATGCGCGAGCTCGGTGAAGACGTCTGGATCTGACTCGAGAGGAATGAAGTGTTTGTTGTATGTCTGTACGCATTCTGCATCTGCAGTGGTCATTGTTGACAGAGGCGTGTTGATGTGATTTTCTTGCTGTTATGCCAGATGTACTTGCCACTTGAGAGTCGAAGCTGAGCGTCGCGCCTGCTTCGTTGGCTACGCTAACCGAGTTGGGTCAGCTCATACTAAACTTCCAGTTGTACACGAACACGCATTCTGGTGGTACAACTACCTCATTGTATCACTAGACTTGCATTTCCTTTTCATTACATACTCGCACATTCCAAACAATACTCGAGCCAGGAGCAGATTACAAATACGCGCAGGTCCTCTCCAACATTTTGACTTCTCTAGCTCAATACTAACATCCCGTCTTGATCTTCAACACCCTCCTCTGGATCTCGTCGTCTCACAGGCATGTTGCATGGCAATTATTCTCTCAATCCAACAACTACTGAGTACACCCGTAACACTGGTCCTTATAGCAGTATTTGTATCCTTTGCAGTATTCGTTGGTGTTACATTCAATGTAGTTGTAGCCACTGGGGTCCCATGTAGCCCAGCACCAGTCCCCTCCTGCAGTACACTACGAGAATTATTAGTACCTTGGTATCGCTCAAACAGCCGGAAGTCCCATGAGGAGCAGACGTACCTTGAACCAGCAAGAGCCCTGGGAACATCCATAGTTCGTGTCCGCACAAGTCTTGAGGCTCGAATCTTCGAAGAGGTTTTGCGTGATCGTGATGCTGATGTCTCGAGGGCGGTGCCTATTAGATATCCTGCCTGGGGCTTCGTCTTCGATCATGGATCGGTCTTCGATGATGGCTCGGGGTGCGCATGCTGCGAGTCGGGCATACATGGCTGTGGTGACGAGTGCGAGGGTGAACTTCATGTTGGTGATGAGCAAGTTGGAGATGTTTGGTTGTGCTGATTAAGAGTTTTGTGAAGAGGACAGCACTGACCTGCGATGTGTTTAAATACCACTGCTGAAAACTATTTCCGGATATACGTTATCGTGGTGGCGGTATCTTGGACAGCAGTACAATATCGACACTGCGTTGTCACGAAACACTGCAGTATATCAAAGCTCGAGTCTTCGGATTGAAACCACAGTAGAGCGAGTGGTCACAGACTCACTGGAGCGTCTGAGCCGGCTTCCCTGTATTTACGTAAAAGTGAACGTTGAAAATGCTCAATGCAATGAGACCAACAGACATCTCCACTGCCGTACTCGAGTTCACGATCTTATGGCTGCCGCTGTGCGTGGCAAAGCAGACATATCAATGGATTGCCCAGGTGGCGCCCGATCTGTCCAACCGTGGCTGTGTCGTGCATGCATGAGTTTACCGCCCTTGCAAAGGGATGACCTGTAGCACCCGAACAACACCGACTGTTGATCTCCGAACAAGAGCGATTCCAATAGCTTCGGGTGACTGCAGTGGCTTTTAACTAGTTTGTGGTAGACCACTAGTTTTCGTTCCCGGAGTTATTGTGAACCGATCATGGACACTTGACGATGTACATTTAGGGAAACATCGTGATGGTGGGTAGGAAATAATAAGACACACTGAATTGATCATAGAACTTCATAGTTTAAACTGTTCAACGAGCCACTTGCCATCCTGTGAGCCAAAAAGAAGGACCAGCCAAACAGTAGGCAAGAAGCTCAGTCATAGATCAAAATTGTACAAGCTGCGCGGCTTATCACTTGTCAGCGCAGCCATCAGGGCAACTTCCTCCCGCGCAAGCAACTGCAACCAAGGGGCAATCAGCAGCAGTGTCACATGTGGCAGAAGCACCCTTGGAATCTCGCCCCCAGCACCAATCCCCAGCACACGAACACTAAGGCATGTATCAGCATCTCAACGATATGTATCTTCCTTGGAGACGTTGGAATGAACTGACCTTCCTCCAGCAATATCCTTCTTCGCAGCCAAAGTCATCTGTGACACAATACCCCGCTGATGAATCATGGAATGGGGAGTACGCGATGTTGATCGTGACGCTGAGCTGTTGCTGTGGGCGGATCGAAAGAGGTTTGTCGGTGCCTGTGAGAACGTGTTGGGGCATACCACTACCAAGGCGGGTGTGTAGTCCCATTAGAAGAAAGCTCAAGATAGTGTTCTTCATGGCGAATGATGTTGTGGTTGTGAGTGAGGGATGGAGATAAAGGGAGAAGATTGGAGATTGCGAGCAGGCAAGTTATACTGTTTCGCGTGCTACAAGGCATTATGGTCTTACGTAGACCAGTGGCTTCGTGGTTCTCGTGGTGCAGGCGCCTCGTGGTATGAGGCGAGCTACGCAGACTTCTTGAGGTCGGGAGATGTCATTGTACGCGGAAGTTGAGGGGAAGAGTGTGGGGAAGGTTATGCTGGAGTTTGGGCAGATCGCGAAAGACATTCACGGATACAATCGCGGATCTGAAGAAACATGTTATTTCGTTATGCCGTTGGCAGTGTAGACATCTCGGCTCACTTTGCGTGGGAGGGAGATGCGGAGCGGAGCTGGTGGAAAGAAGTCAGTGCTTGGGAGGCGCGATGTAAGGAGCCGAGGATTGCGCAAGGGGTTGGGTGTTCGATAGCGAGGGTGAGTGGTTCGTCACAGCGGAACTTTGAAAGGTTTGCCCGATGTGAGTAGATTTATATCGCACGAGACCGAGATGTATTGATTGCAGCTTTAGCTGCATGTTGCAATTCGTCAAAGGATCCTGTGGTCTCGATGTTGGAAGACACGGCTTCTGATTGGCCCACTGAGCTCTGCTCCCGGCCGTCGGATGTATGCCAAGATGGCAGTACTCCTGCATCAAGTTAGGGTCGTAATGAAGGAGCAAGAGCGTAGAAAAGCCGGCGCGTATTCAGGCAGGACCTACCCAAGGACCTCTATGTCTCTCAGTATGTACCCTTCCGCCAAGTAAGCATTGCGCAAGGGATAAGTACACCTGCACTGAAGCTGTACCTCTTTAGCTCCGCTCAAGGGTCGTCGGAAGAAGTCCAAGGCACCGTGTAAGTTGCCAAAATTGAGTCAAGTTTAGATATAGAGTGCTCGAGCCTTCCGCATCGCGCACGCAATCGTAACTTTGCCATGCGATTGCAGCAGCATTCCAGGCTAGCTAACGCAACTGAAGCACCTTGGGAAAGCTAAATCGCGAAACTGCAGGCGTCCGGCGTAGACATATTACAAATACAAAGGTGCAGACATCTCGGCTCCCATCCCATTAATAGTTCTGACGTGGAACCCCGCGCTGCTACTTCCTATTTGGGTAAGCACTTCCCATGTGTATATCCGTTAGTATACCCCACTCCTTCCAAGGTTACCAACAAACTCAACCCCGCCCCTCTTCCGTACCAAACTTTTGACGGGAACTCCCGTCGCGACTAATCCGATGGGGCGTTTCAGACGTCTCCTGTCTCGTTTGTCCTGCGGGATCTTCCACATTAAACCCAAATACTCAAAGATACCTCGTCCGGATCCTGCAATGGCGACAAAAGTCCACGAATACAAACTCCCTCCTACAGCTCTCATTCCTAACTCACCATACCCGCTGCTCCACTATCCCGGTCTTCTCTATGATATGGTGACCTCACCGAACTTCAAAACAAGAGAGATTCTCGACCTTTATGCATCGAATGGCTGGCAAACACAATGGATAGCGCAGTACGGAATGGACATACAATCGCACTACCACTCCACTACCCACGAAGCCATGACCGTTATCTCAGGCGAAGGCGCATGGATCCGTTTCGGCGTCGCTGACTCCCCGTCTTGGTCGCAGGGGAAATACGAACCGGGTGAAAGAGGAGATGGAGAGGTTGGTGGCGTGGATATCAAAGCGGAACTGGGCGATGTCTTCATCATCCCAGCGGGGGTTAGCCACAAAACCTTTTTGCCGCGACCGCGGAACGAGGAATTGGCGTTTCACCAACCGAAGGATGTAGAGGAGGGGAGAGCGGCGGAGATTGATGCGGAGAAGGAGGCGGAGAGGAGGCGTTTTTTTGAGAGTGTGGATATCAGTGGCGGGAAGTTTATGATGATGGGTGCGTATCCTTATGGCGGGGTTTGGGACTTCGCTGTTGGGGGTGAGCATGACGGGAAAGAGGGGGAGGTGTGGAAGGTGGGCATACCGGAGAAGGATCCCGTGTTGGGAGATAGCGATGAGGGGTTGAGGGGGCTGTGGGAGGGTGTGGAGGAGGCTGGTGGTAGGGTGGTGATGGGATTGAGAGAGTTGGGGTTTGGAGTTTGAGGTATGATTGAGTGTGAGGTAACGACCGAAACGATCTCTTACACAGTTCTTCTCATTTTCACGAGGACAGCTTCCTCCTTCATTCCCGTAGTCTCGATACCAGGTTGATCTTATTGTTGTTACACTCCAACCACGCGCGTTTCTTCGAAGTTGAGCATGAGCGGTAATGCCAAATCCATCTCCAGCAACGAAATGAGGTGCGACGCGTCTACTACTATATTCAGATACGCCATATCTTTGCAACAGGTAGGTTTTAGAACGAGCCTAGGTGTGGTCATGAAGTTCTCCGCCGCACGATCATTCCGAGACGGGTCCGACATCCCCGAAATCGGCGCTAGCCTCCACTCACGCCCGCGCGCCCTACGAGTGATTCATCAAGATCCATCCTATATAACAAATGGTGGTGCCCCTAACGCTCACAGTTTCGCGTCTCTTATGCGCTCGAGACAGCTTGTCCATTGAGCTTCCCTTTCGTGACCGCGACATTTCCACAAGGACTTACGTAGGCACGATGCTGCCTCTCCTACGCCCCTTCCAAACACCCAGGCACGAGCCGGCACCGGTTTAGCGCAATACAGCAAGAGGAGGCACACAGCACCATGACAGTTTAAGACCCACTGTAGACCACTCCCGCTTCTAGGAGATGTTCACAAGGAGCGACGCCTTGCGAAAACCATCAACATGCCGCAGATAACCGCCGAATTGCGACCATAGCCAAGCGACCGAGTCCGTATCATCATTATCAACGCCAACACCTTCTTGTTCCACCACCAAAGAGCCATACCAACACGTACAATCGTCGGAGCGACCTTACGCCCGA